TAACAACCCTAGAGCTCGGTGGAGGGAGGGGCAATTCCTGGGACAGGTTACCTTGGCAACAGGTTGGAGCAGAGGCAGGTTCTCATAAGGGTGGAGGAAGGGCTCTGAAGGCATTAACATTAAAATCCCACAAGGGACAGTCTCCCACTTCCCGGACTCACTCAAAATTGGCCTCCTTGATCTGACCTGACTCGGTTTACCTATCTATGCTGACTGCCTGTCTGATTCTGGCTTCGTTAGGTGAGACAGTACGGAGACTCAGGACCCAAATGGAAATGAGAGAGTCTTAGAAATCTGTGCATGTAAGTAATATACTTAAGACCCGGGCATTTTAGTATCTGTTCAAAACAAGTACAAGCAAATGGTGAACCCCAGCCTAGAGCACCCACCAGGAAGCATGCAGGAGGGGGTGGTCTGACGTGTACTCCGAAGTGCACATGGAGGGCCTTTGAGGACCCCAGGAGTGCAGTGGACGTGTGAAGTCTCCCTGTAGAAGTCATCAGAAAAACTAATGCCTGCAAAAGTCATTTTAATGACACCAAAAATTTGCATTTTTACATCTCATCATCCCATATAGAACACCTATAAAAATATAAATTGAGCAATATGTAGGTGTCTTAAAAAAGTGTTATAGGTTTTGTTGTTGTTTGGTACTGAGGAATGAACCCAGGGGTGCTTAACCACTGGGCCACATCCCCAAACCTTTTTAGATTTTATTTAGAGACAGGGTCTCACTGAGTCACTAAGTGCCTCACTGAATTTCTGAGGCTGCCTTTGAACTTGTGATCCTCCTGCCTCAGCCTCCCGAGGCAATTGTAGCCGGTGGCATTATAGGTGTGCACCACTGAAGCCCGGCTGTTAAAGGTTTTTATACCTGTCCTTTACACAGCATGTGGGACATTTGATGGGTTAATTTCAGAATAAAAGACAACCATATGGCCTTATCTGTGTGACATCTCCTCCACTGCCATGGCAGATTTCAGGCATTTTGGAAAAGACTCCGCTTTCAAAAAAAATAAATAAATAAAAGAAGTCCCCACTGAAATACCTTCATTGAAGTCTCACTGATCTGCACCCAGCAGACTTCTGGTGCTCAGGAGCCCCTTTCCTGCGCAGGGGGTCTCTAGAGGAAAACACTCCTACTGCATCCTCGAGAGACAGACACTGGTAAGACGCTGAGCATGAAATGGGTTTGGGGAGAGGCAAGAGGAAAGAGGTACCCACTAAGGAGCTGGGAGGGTAGGGTTGAGGAACATTGTCACACCATGTCAAGTAGGGACACTGAGGCCCAGAGCTGTGACATGTCGGGTCACAGAATGCTCTACAGACATCACCATTAGGAGCAAGGCATCCGTGCCCACCCTGCCATGGGTCTGCTCCACCCAGCCGTACCAGGAGAGGGGTTGGGGATGCCACGGGAGCTGGGTCCCGGGGTGTCCATCCCACTTCTTCCAAGTAAGCAAACGCCTCTTGGGCTCTCTGTCACTGCTGTCCAGGGAGGACATCCTAGTGTGGGAGTTGGAGGAGTGGGGAAGCAAGACCAAAGCAACTCATGCTCCACACATAGGTCCTTCCACCTCCGTGCCTAAGGCAAAACATCTGCCACCTGTTCCCTGTGACGCTGGCTGCTGGTGCAGACATCTGCAGGGGGTGGGGGCATGGGGAGGGGGGATTCGGGTAGTGGTGGGAGGGCAGAGGAGGGATGACCAGTCAGTACTGCTGCCAGGATCCCCTGTAGCCATAAAGAACTCCAATAACTAATCTGCTTGGAGCTGGGGATTCTTAAAGTGCTAGTGGAACCCCCTCTCCTAGTTGGCATGTCACTCAGTGTGGAATGACTCAGAGACTTTTTGCTCTTTAAACTGCTCCCCCGCCCCATTTACTTTCTTTCAATAGTCCGAAACGTTCTGAGTGGACATTTGTTAAACTTCTTGAGCACACAGAACAGGGGGACTTCAGCCTCCACTCCCCTAGCCTCCCCTGCTCCACATGCACGGTGGCGTGAGGGTCCCGAGTCAGACAGATGCTGATCAGGAAGCTAGAGTTTCAGAAATGGCTCCTGAGGGCAAAGAGACCAAGCAAGCTTGTCCCCCACCTCTGACCAAGGCCAGTGACCACCCAACACTGGATCTAAGCCCGGGAAATAAGCACTGAGGCAGGAGAGGTGGGACAGCTGGAGCCCAATCAGGACAGGCCAGGCGGGAGCGCCAGACGTCCAGGGGCCACCTCGGGCT